CGCTCTTCCATTTTGTGTGGTTTGTGTTGTTGAGATGGGGGTATATCAGTCTTTAATTAAACTCCTCCCTTACTGGAAGGAGAAGGCCGACTTGCACAAGTGAGGGATCTGCTTGTTCCTCATTATTGCATCAGATTCTTCAGTGTCACAGGCTTTCTATAGGCACGTGTAATCCTATGGCTGAACTGGGGTAAAGTACTTAGTGTCACCAAATCCTTAATTTCACAGACCTTGATTAAAAAAAAAAAAAAAAATCTATGTATGTTGACTGAAATGCATTTGGACTAAGGGAATTAGAGGGCTGGTTTGGGCTGAGCTTCATAATGATCTATATAAAACCTATTTGGTAGCAGGGAAAAGATCCAGGCAAAAATTGAAACCTTAAAGGTATAACATCAGCCACTCTTATTAATTGCAAGGAACTAACAGAAAGCTGTGATATTACTAACCACTAAAAAAAAAAAAAAAAAATTAGCCATCTGTCTGGCACCAGCTGAAACGCATTTCCCTGTGCAAGATGATTGACACTCATTCAGGGAGTGGAGACATGCTCTACTTTAAATAGGTAAAGAAAGGTTATCTCTCTTCATTAGGATACTTCCAATTCAATGATTTTTTTTTTCCTTAAGAATAAGATAATCTTCAAAACGGTTTTAAAGATTTAGTCTCCATCCTTGAAAGCTATGTGGGTGAGCCATTTGACTACAAAATGAGACAATGCAGAGGGTTATGAGGATTATAATCACTTATATTTAGGGAGCTGATGAATCAAACTAGTCAAGCAGTCTAGTCCGTGAAGCATGCTTTTAACAAACTAATCACAAGAAAACTGGAATTGAGTGCAGCAGTTTTATTGAAAAAGTCCACAGGTGTGTGCAATTCCTTTATTAAAATGTTTTCAAATACATTGGACAAGGAGCAATCGACGATCAAGAGTTATTCCTTTTTTTATACATTTTTATTTCCAAAACTATACAAACATTGGAAAACTTTCCTTTTCCTCCATTTTAGCTATTAATAATTCTGTAATGATAAGTTATATATCTCCCTTTTCAATTTGCAAACCCACTTTCCTGGAGGTGACATTTTATATCTTTGACAATTAAAAAAAAAAAAAAAAAGGTCAGTCATATTTACATGTGCTTAAGGTTGCATAATTGAGCATCATAGAGGTTCTGAAAACCAGTGGATACAGGGTTTTCAAGATTCACCCGTGTGGGTTGAAGGTTTTAAATACACATAAACTGCATACATGTGATTTAGTAGCCAAGACACCCTTTGTTCCCTTTTATTTTCAAGGCTATCTATAAACTGTGTGCTAGCCATGGTAAAGGTTGGTTTTAGCAAAGGTACTCACCGAGTGAAAAGCAGCACTGACAACAACTATTGCTGATCGAGGATGTGAATGGGCAGAGAATTGTACGTGTATATATAATACAAAAATCTAATGTTTCAAAATGAACTTGAAGCTCTTATGTAAAAATAACGCCTAGAAGAAAAGCTATTTCCTGGACTGGATTAACGAATAAATAAAACCCACAAACACTTGTGTAAGGAAAAAAGTAGAGCTCAACATGGGAAAAGAACAATAGAAGCACATGGATTAAATTCGGAAGCTGATCTTGCAATGTATAATTACTGGAAATTCAGTTGAAATATAGCAACATTATCAATGGGAAATGAAGGCTACAACTGCAGCAGACACATACAGTATACTTTATGAGCTATTATATTGGCCATACAGATTTGTCTACATGTTATTTATCTGAATCCTTAAGGCTTCTCTAATGTGGTACATGAAAGTGCTGTCTGCTTGGATCTTCCATGCATGAGGGAAAGGGATAATTCTTCAAAAAAAAAATTGTCCACGTTTCAATTACAGTAGCACATCCAGAGACACAAAATAAAAGACAAAACCTTATGGTACCTTTTGTTTCATTTATTTTGGCCCCCAAAAGATGCATGCACTAGACTTTATGTACTACAAGGTATTGAAATATTTACAGCATTGTACATGTGCTCTTAAAGGGATGGCAAAGGGACAGGTCTATTTTTATCTTGGTGGGAGTAGAAGTTACTTTCCTAGCTTAATAATACCTATTCAAAGTGAGAGATGACTCTTCCAAAAAGAAAAGCCCACAGAGAATAAAGCTATAGCATAATTATAGCCAATGTTGACAAACTGTACAGCACTTTACCTGGGAATTCTCTTCTCTCTCACTCCAGTTTGAAATAGCAGGACCAACTACTAAGCGATGTTGCCGTGCTCCCCTTGCCCTGTCTGCTGTTTCTCTCTATTCCAGCAGGTATAGCTGTATATTACCTGTTTATATGATTTTTATTTCAAATTATTTTGGCGTGTTGAACAGACATTTATTTCACAATAACCTGATGGCGATTTTTGAACAAATGATATGATTGATATTTACTGGATTATGGCACTAAAGAATTCAGACCATTATAAAGCGCATCATAAATACTTCAAGTGGACTTAGGAAACCATCTCTCTAAGAAATTCAGTGAGTAAGGCTCATATCACTGATTTCCTTCTGCTTTTAAAGGTAAAGATATGATACCCAATACACCAGGTTAAACAAACAGAAGGCAGTTGGGAAGAAGATGCGGGCATAGGAGTCCATTTTGGCAATGCGGATATGTATTCTTCCATGCCTCCATGCTCCTGTTCGACAATCCTCAAAGCAGCAAAAAAAACTGGCACAGTCCTTGCCATCAAGACATTCGTACCCATATTCTTCATCCCTTTCTTGGAGGTGTGTAGCATTGTTCATTTGAATAGTAGCTGATCGAGGGCGGATGTCGATTGTAGGTGCCTAAGGTGGAGTGGCAAAAAAAGAAAGAGATGGCAGAAGGGAGAGACTCTGTTATTATCCCAGACCAAGAGGGAGATAGAGACTAATGGTCAACATGTGAATGATGGTTCTGCGTGGGGTACGTGGGAAATTGCTGAGGAGTTCTAATGGTAATATTACCTTGAACTTGTTAAAATCAATTGCATCATATGCTTTAGCTTTACAGGAAAGCAGCACAAATCAATATGAAGTTAACAGCTGTGGACAATTAGCTTTAAAGCCAAACTAAGTAAACATTAGAGGTTAAAGGAAACATTCAGGAATGTAACTGATGGTATTTTGAATTAAGTTGTGGTTTATATTTTACATAGCTGCTTGATATCTGAAGGCAATTTGTGTATTGCACGTGGAAGGAACTGAAATAATCAATTGGAAATGCAGGATTTTAATATAGGGCTGGTTCATGTTGAGACAGGAACAAATATGTATACAGGAAAAAAGGCAAAAACTGGGTCTTTTGCATAAGGTTAGGAGAATCTCTGTAAGACTCTCCAATTGTTTGAATATATGCAGTTCACCATCTAGTAATGTTCACCAACTAGAAGGTTCAACATGTTCTAAATTTTATATAGTAGCTGTACCATATGTATACGCATATATATTTGGGATGAATTGAGCAAATTAAGCATTTAAAACACATTTGAGCACTTGGCGAACACTAGGATGACAGGCATGACAGTTATTAGGGTAAAATAACAACAATTCTATTCCATAAGTATGTAAATTTCTTGGCTTTTATTTTATGTGTTTTCTTTTTTTCCCTGGGGTTTGTTTTTTTTGTTTGTTTGGGTTTTTGTTTTGTTTTTGTTTGTTTATGAAATCTCTGCATTTCTGAATGAAGATAAGGTTTAGATGTGGAACATAGCTAGGTATATTTGCTAATTTGCTAAGAGTGTGTTGATCCAGTGACAGCGTTAAAAATATATATGCATCTGAAACCCTTTCAAAACTCTGACTTTTTTGCCTAAGAAACAGCATTTGAGTAATTCATGATGATGATGATTAATTTTGCTCAGGTCAACATCGAAACAGATTTGGTTTTATAATTTGGAGTGAAATCACAAATGTTCAAAAGACAGTGTCAGAGTTGAGTTCTAAAAGGGCACATTGCAGGTTTCGGGTGTAGCTGGTTCTATTGGATCCCATGGCAAATTGAGAAAGAGAGGAGCAGAAACGTAATATTAAACTCTCTTAATTCATGTGATCCAATAATGTTGGTCACTCTTGAACTTAGTTAAGTTCAGAAGCATAGTGAATCAGTATTTGGGCTGCTGAATCAACTCTACAAATTGTTTAGAAATATGTAACCATTCTACTTAATCCAGAAGTTACATTGAGTAGAATGCTTAGATGTCTCATTAAAAAAAAAAAAAACCACCAAAAAAAACCCCCAACAAAACACCACTCTCGTATAAGCTCTAATAGTTAAATTCAGCAGTCGCATGCAGTGAATTTCCATTCCAAAAAACATTATACCTTGAAGGAAAACATCCGAAGAAGCTTTCATTTTGTAGACAGAAAAGAGAATCAGAGGGTTTTGTTTTAAATTAAAGAAAGGAAGGAAAGAAAGAGACAAAAATAATGTAAATTAAAAATATGTTTCTAAAACATAGTCAAAAAGAACTAAATTTATAGAAAAGTTGGGATAATAGCAATTTAAACAAGTATCTGTAATATAAAACCCACACATTTTTGACTTGTCACTGTCCCATAACTACATCTGGGCCGAAGACATAAGATATTGAACTCCATTGAGATCTTTTCATATTCCCAGGGGATCCCAATCTTTTATGTTGAACTATTTTGAAAGAGACTATTCACAGTTTATAAAAACACTTTTTAGAAAAAACTCTCTTTACCTGCAGACTGGGTCCTGAACACTCTACTTTTAAGGTTTTTAGACTCTGATTAGGATCCAGGCAGTCATTAGTAGTTCTGTTTGTCCCCAAATGCTCACAGGTAAGTAATGTAAAGAACAAGTAATCTGCCCTTATACGGACATCTCTTAGAGCGAAGTTTGGGGCAGTTAATCTTTGCTTCTTCAATTGACTGTGAAAGACACGCATGCACACAGCCAGCCTTGCAGTTTGGCCTGAGAAGGGCCAGGCCGCACCACCCTCCAGAAGTGCTTCTTGACCAAAAGAGAGGCCTGTGATCAAATCCAGCTTCAGCATACCTAAAGTTAGGGGAGAATTCTTCCTCGGCGCTCTTATAGATGTTCTTCTGGCTGTTTATCCACTACAGAGTACATCTCTCTCTCTTTTTCTTTTTTTAAGTCTACTCAACAGCTTTTGAAGTTGAAATTATAGCAATAAAGTATAATAAAAGGTTCTTTAATTACTATTTTTTCTATGTTCTTTTTGTGCTGTATGTTATAACTAAAAGAGCATATCTTCAAAAGTATTTGAAGATTTTAGGAGAGCAAATCCAAGTGACTTAATTGTTTCCTAGGTGCCTGAAATGGATTTGGAAATATTCTCTGTTAATGTAAAACACTTGTTCTTCACATTTTTCACACGCATACTTGGGGTTTTTTGCAGACGATTAGGCTACTTTTTCCTCTAGGATTTTACACTAATTCTTTTCATCTCGGAGATTCTAGACAACAGACTTTTCAGCTCAGTTGCAAAAGGCAAGGAGAAATCTGTCCTGGACAAAATAAGCAACAAAGTTCCCTGTCTGGGCAAAACCCCAACCCCCTACTGAGGATATTTCCAGGATTTTTTTTTATTGTGGCTATTACATACTTTTTTTTTTTATTATTATTGTGTAGCATGCATCCATAAGTAACGTTGTAAACTGCTAGGCAAATCGCTTTCTAAGGGAGAGAAGTAGATAAAGGAGGTAAGAAATACAAGAAAAAGAAGATAAGGAAACAATAAAAAGGAAACAGATGCTTAAGGGGAAATTAGAAAAAGCACACTCCGTAGTTTGAATATAAAAGTTTAACTGTTTAACTGATAATAAGAAAAACAGTCATGTCAATAATACGGACATGAGGTAATGGCAGAGAATATTGCTAAAGCTAATGCAGAGAAACTGACAGTTCTTCCATAAAGGTCACAGCAAGAGCTCTAGCTAGAACATAAATAATGGTTTCGGTGATAGTTATGATTTGCAGAACACTTTGGTTAAAAGGATCCTTATTCTAAGAAATTAGTGTCTCTGGTATCCAGACAACCATAACGTATGAGCTTTTCATTCTCAAGGTGAATGTTTGCATTCCTATTAATACAAAGGAAGTCTATAGACGTAATAGCAAAGTCTGAAAAGGAAGTATAAGCATAAAGAGGGATTTAAATGCTCTCTCAGAAAACCTAATTGAAATTTAGACCTTGCTGGTAAAAAGATACATACTGGATTTTTCTTCTTTTTGTCTTTATCCTTGCTTGGCTTTCTGTTGCTGACAAAATAGTGCAAAGTTCCGTATTCCACCAGTGCAGAGAAAACAAAAATAAAGCAGACTGACACAAAAAGATCCATTGCTGTCACATAGGAGACTTTGGGAAGAGATTTACGAGCAATTGTACTTAAGGTGGTCATTGTCAGGACAGTTGTAATACCTGGCAGATAAATAGAAAACAACAGAAATATTATTACTGCAAGTAACAAACTGATTTTGCCAGTTATGTCTCTCTGACTGGTTTGGAATTATGCCTGGAGTTCAAACATATAGCAAAGATATTAAACAGCACATCCCAGCAGTGAAACGTGGATTCAATGAGAGCTTCGAGGATTAACACGGGGTATGAAAATCTTTGCGTGGTCACTGCAAGTGCTGCTCTGCAGAATACTTTGGTTAGACGGATTCTGATTCCAAGAAATTTAATTCAGTTTTTTAGTTTTGTAATATACTTCTAGGGAGCCTTTATTTATTTTTAATTGAAAAATTTAGTTTTAGGGTTTGTGTGCTCAAACCCTTAAGCAGAGCTAGAGAGAAAAGAACTTGTTTCAGAGCGAGATAAATCATGGTGGAGAAAAAAAATTGCTTTACTCCATTCTTCAGGTTAGTTTGAAGACCAATCTCAAACTTTTGTGATGTTGGGATACGTTTTGGTTATTTTTAGTTGCAGGGTAGTGATACTAGAGTCAGCCATTATATGAGGTAGAAATTCATGAGAATTCTTGAGAGAGCATGTAATCCAGCAGGAACTTCAGGACAAAACGTGCGTAGATTTGTATGTGCGCTACATAAAGAAATAAAACGGTTTCTTTTCTCTCGCCTAAATGCATTCTAGTTGTATGCAAAAGACGCTAGCCACACTCATATTATCTGCTGCTTGTTATTTAAGTGATTTCTTGCATATAAAGCTGGAAGGGAGAATCTCTCAGGGCTCCTTATAATTGTAACACTGTGAGGTCAGACTTCTCTGTGCCAGAGCAGTATCTCTTCTGGCCTTCATCAGTGACTGTAGTTTATAACTGAGAAGTACTGTGACATGCCTCACCATCCCTGCTCCTTTCAGAACATTATTCCCTGTACTACGATGTGAAGAACATTAAAAATGCATCAGAACAGTTAAAATCCATCACATTTTATATAGCAAGTTTCATACCACTGATTTTACCTCCTCAGTGGTACAAATAGGCGAATTCTCAACAGAGGGACCAGTCTGTTTTGTATATCTAAGCAAAATTTAAAATAAGAGCTGAATACCTTTATTAATTTTATACTTCTTTAAAGCTGATTTTATAACCTCTTTTTAGAGAGGATGTGAAAAAGGCAATAAAGTGCTTAAAACTTTCTGTCATGGGAGCCACTGGTCCTCTATTTCTGTGTTTCTTTCAGGGGAGTTCTGGAATGAAAATGCTGTCCCTCTTTTTGCATTCCAGTGCTCTGTGCTGTAGTTCTGTGAAGAAATGAATATGCAGAAGGAAAAACTAAAATGATTCTCGCTTGTGTGGATTTAATGCAGAAGTAGAAAATGTGTTTAACTTTCTCTGGTTGAATGTTTCTACTTTGCTAATTCTTACAGCCACAGCTGCTTTGCACAAGCAAGGTTAATTTGGTCTCTCTCTCAGTTTGTTTGTGGAACGGTTGCTAAATGTGTAGAAATTGTTAATTCTGATTAATTGCATGTCGCATTTTCACGCATAGGATTTTAGAAGCCACCAAATTCAGTTGATTTTGTGGTCCGAAGGCTACATTTGATTGTTGGTCCCTAAAATAGAAGCCGGGGTACTACATTCTCCCTTTTTTACCGTTACAGCACACAGACAGCCAGAAAGATTGGTTCCTTCTTGGTATTTATTTTATTTGTATTGCTAGTCACCGTGATATGGATGCAGAGCAAAAGTAACGCGTCCCTGCCTCTAATCCAGCAATGGTCCCAATCCTCTTGATGTTTATAAAAAATACTGCTGTCATCAGAAAAGATGCAGGTTTTTACTGTGGGCAATCTATGATACTCAGAATCTGACATAGTAAAAAGGAAGAGATGCAAATACAGTTTAGGCTGTGTTATTCCTTGGAAACGACTGCATCCCTCTAAACGAGGAGAGCTCGTGTGAAATTGTCTCTCCTCATACATTTACAAACTGGTGATCCGCAGAGCTGTCAATTAAACATCATAACGCTTGAATAAAAGCAGGAAGAAAAAACAACTCACCCAGTGATGTTCTGGCTGGAACTGCATCCTTATTAATCCAGAAAGAGACCCAGGACAACACAACAATAAGTGTGCAGGGAATGTAGGTCTGAATAGTGAAATAACCCATTCTCCTGCTCAGGTTAAAGTAAACAGACATGACTACATAGTCTCCTGTAAAACAAAAGTATACTGAGGTAGAACAATATGTTAAAAAACCAAAATAAAATTTCCATATAATAGCTAGGGTTTTCCTATTCTGTGCCTGGGGTGTATATATTAAACTGATTCACCAGATATACTGATGGCAAATACATGCATACCTCTTCTTCAGCACTGGTATAGCTCAAGAACTGGTGGATTTTCCACGCTATGAAAGTAGAGTCTTGCAGGTTCACTTAGGTAACTTGTACTTTAAGATGTCAAGGGTAACCTCCCTTGCACAGCACAGCAGGCTTCTTTCTACCAGAGTCATTCCTCGTAACTTGCAAATGCCTAGTATAGTCCTCTTAGAGCAACCGAGTGAGTGGTGGTGGTCCAGCAAACCTCCAGTCACCGTGCTGTCCTTGTTAGGATGCTCTCAGCTCTGCTCTCAAATAATTCATGCTTTCAGATGTACTTTCTAAATCATTCATGTTCTCAACTATTCTTCAGGGCTAGGCTGTGTCAATAATTAATTTTTTATTTGCCTGCAGGTCTTCTGTTGTATTATTTCCTCTAAAAGGATTTGAACCCACATCTCCGAAGTGCCCAAAATAGCGAGGCTGTATGTTACTCCGGTGTGCATAACACATCATTCCCATTCAATAGTTTTGTGATTCTTTTTCCAGGTTTTTTCCCCCTCTCAATCTATTAAGTAAATTCCACCTGGATTCAGGAATACAGCAAAGCTTCAGGTTTTGATGTATTTTTTTCTAAACTAAAAAAACCCTAGTTCTCATCTTTACTTCAGATTACAGCACTCCTGGGAAATCTTGATTGCAAAAGAACTACAGAACCCCAGGCTACAAAAGAGTTCATTGCAATTCAGGGAAATGCAGTCCAGAGAAGTCTCAGCTGAAACAGAATAGGATCTGCAAATTTAGAGTGAGATAGTTTTCCAGCGTTATCAAAGAGACTCGGTGGCTAACGTGTGTTCTGCTTAGATCGGTACCTTCAGTTAATGTTGAGGTCTCTGTTTTCAGGCATAATTAAAATTTTAATTTCCCCCAGAATAATCCCTTTGAACCTGGTCGCAGAAGAAACTTCAGAGATAATTTTTCAGCTGGTGCTTCTTTGTGATATTATTTTTTTCAATGTGAATGTCTACATCCCAAGGATTAACTGGTTTTAATTTAATTATATTATGTTGTAATTAAACCAAAAACTTAAAAAACAAATTATATATGTGTCGTTTACAAGGAGATATGGCTGAATATGAGCAACCAATTTTAATAATTGCAGTCTGATTATCCTCTTAATTCAGAGTTAAGTTTGCATTATATGTGTATGTCCCCTTCATATATAAAAAAAAAAGCCCCCAAAAAAACCCAAAACCAAAAAAACACCACTGATCAGGAGCACTGTAAAACTGAAGCCGTAAAATTACAGTATGACTTGCTCTTCAGCTCTCTGGATCATGTATTAACTTCCTGCAAAGTGATTATTTTGTCAATTTTGGGAATTAACTTTTTCATTCATTCACCTTCATATATGCTGTTAATAGCATTGGTATTTCAAAATTGTTGTGGTCCGTTGTGTCGTGTCCCCCCTCCCCGCCCCCCCCCTCCTGGCAGAAAAGCAGTAGCTGTATTACTTCCATGCAGTTTTAAGAAGGCTGTTTTCATGCTTAGTGTTATTATATTACTTTTAATGAGGCAAAAAATTAAAAAAAGAAAGAAGTGAAATATAAACCCAAACATAGATGAGAACATAAAAAGGTACAAAGGATTAGCTCAGAATTGAAATTAAAAATGAGATGTTTTCTTTCTGTTATTGCTTCTTTTTCTGAAGCTGCAGCTGCTATAGCCTCTTTTGGAGTAGCTGAAGAGATTTATCGGATCCTAGGTAACTACTTTCTCTGGGTATTTTGTCCTGTACTTGGACAGGTCTTTTTTCCCAACTGTTTTAGTAGTTCTAGCACTCTTGCCTTGTAGGATCTTTTATTCAAAAGACCAGAAAATATCAGAATCTAGTACACAAGCCAGCACTTTCCTACAGGTATGAGAGTCAAATCCAAAACTCGGTACCTGTGCTGAGAAAACAAACAGATAAATCCAGATGACCTAGACCAAGGCATACAGCCAAGACGTCATGCATTGTCCTCGTTCAATAACAGTGTATGCAAACTGAGCCAAGTGGTGGTGTGGATAACATATGAATATACATATATGTGTATATAGAGACAGTAGCCCTCAGTCTTTCCGTTTTATAGACTGTCTCCACATACATTCTGTTATCGTGGTTTTTTTCTAGAAAGCTTGGTGGTGATCATCTAGTCTCCATGGAGACTTGTTTGGGTTTTCCCTTAATGCAAGGAGTGTTTTTTATACAGTAAGCTATTACAATAATATTTTAACAATATTTTATGCATTATTTTAAAGTACTTTTTTTTTTCAAAAGGTAATGCAGAAGAGCTTTTAAAATGTTAACTAACTTGTAAAGGCCTCAGTCCCTTCAGCAGCCATGAAACATTACTTTGAATTCTCTTTCACCTCAAAGAGGCGCTTCAGAGGACAATCCATTTCCATAGAGCAAAAGCAGTGTCCTGTCACAGAGCATTTGCTACACAAACTGGAGACACTCCGGGTGGAAGTGGTTTATATCTAATTGAACACAATTCCCTCTGCCTTTTTTTTTTTTTTTTTTTAAATATTGGACTTCTTAACCAATTATGTTTAGAAATAGCATACCTCTGCTAACATGTTCCAAAAAGTTAAAAAATGGTGTAATTATTCTAGATTTTGTTCAACCCTCACAAATGCTATTGTACCTTCCTTTATGCAAAGACTTTCTTTCCTAATGGATAGGTGTGTAAAAAAAAAAATCCAAAACACTCTGGAATGATATCCATAGGAAATACTGTATCAGCTCCTGATACTTACAGACAAAATCCACAGAATTATTCTGTCAGATCTGATTTCTCACGTGTTGTAGGATTGGAAACAATTTACTGAAAGCTCAAGGAAATAAGAGACCATATATACTTTATAAGGGCTTTAAGGTTTCTACTAATGGAGAAGTTAAATTAGAGGAAGTAAAAACGTCAGTGTCAGCTATAATTTGCCAGGCAGTGTGGAGTTGACCAGTCTGAAGAATCATTCAAGGATGCATAAATTTTTTTAAATTACATGTTGTGTTCTAATCTGAAAGCCTGCTGGCGCTGCAGATACTGTTGCGTTGTGGAGTAAATTCCACTATTTCAGAGAATCTTACTAAAGAAAGGAATAATGTTTATACCGCAGAGAGGTGTTTTGTTTATTTCTCACCTTGCTTGGTTGGGATTTTGGGAAGTGGGATGTACTCCTGATTTCTTTCAAGGTAAGAGTGAGAATAACAAATATAAGTTAGGAAATGCCAAGACAAGGCAAGTTAATAATTCTGAAACGTACTGAATATCTCTTCTAGCCTTGAAGTAATATGAGCAATTGTAAATAAAGCAGTAAGGAAAACAGGACTAAGTGGTAGGATGCTCCAGAGAAGCGTCTTGCTGGTATTGCCTAGTTTATGTAAGTGATGTTAGAATGATTAACAGCAGGCCTTCTGAGATTTTGAATAAGAAAAGTACTCTGAGCGTACAAATTAATGCAGGACCAAAGATGTGCAATTTAGGACCTAGCATCGGCTGTCGTAACACGTACATCCAAAACGTAAAATGTATGATGTCCTCCATGGAACGTGGACTTGACAGTACTTTGCTTCAATCACACCTTTCATGATGGAATCTTGCCCCAGCCCTGTTTTTATCCGCATTTGTTTTTTTCCGACTCTGTTCATGGACTTCTCTGCTCTTCAGCTGGGACCAGCTTAAATACTCTCTGTTATTTTTAGATTATCTCTGTGCCTGAGGTACTGAGGTACATCGCACTCCTAGTGTGATGCCTGCATGAAGCTGTCAAACTAAGACGTTGTTTTAGTGAAAAATGGCCAGACTTGATCCTTAGCACAGTGTCATTCATTAGCCCTCACTTGGCAAATTGATAATCTTTTCATTATTACTTCATGCTCTTTCCCTGAGCTCTGGCTCTTGTTTATCCAGTATTGTCTACTACAGCAAGAAAGCTTGTCAGAGTGCCAGACTGCTGTTTGGAGGGCTAATATACTTTTGGATTTTTCTAGAAATGAATGATAGTGCAACCTGGCAGTATCTTTGTGAGAAAACATACTTAAGTACTTAACGTTTAGCACCCTAATTAGAAGATTTTGGATTACTTAGCCTTTCGCCAGAGACCTTACAGTCCTGCTGCCCATTCTAAGGTATATATAACTATTACATATGCCTAGAAAATAATATCTAGATAGTTTTCGATTTTCAAAGAAATATAAAGTTTCCCTGGAAAAAATAATCTGAAATCATCCTTAATATAGTTAGACCTCATCTCTCTCTCTCACTCTCACTCTGTATGAATATATGTATTTCTCCTGTTCCTCTGTAGTCATCTGTGTTTGTATATATAGATACACAGACATAGTTTTCTTTGGCTGAAGATACAATAACCGGTTAATCAGTTTCTTCAGTGCATATATTTAAACCAGAATGCAGTCCCTCTGGAAAATGCTATCCAGGTCATGTTTATCCTCACATATAAATACTCATATCATGTTTTCTAGTAAATGCATATTCCTGCCAATTCTGTTCGGAAGATCACGAGACGCAGGGCAGGGTTCTGACTGGAGCCACAGCATCTTCATACTGCTACTCTGAATGGAAAGTCGAAGATTTTTCTAGGTGGCAATAATCCCTGCTGCACGCAGAGAAAGTGCATGGGCCTTAAGTCACTTCTAGAGTAGGAGGTATTTTGAAAAGGAGATGCATACCATCAGTATCCAGTGATCATGACCTTAGTAAGCCCTTACAGGAGGTCTTATTTCTAACAGTCCTGTGCCATCCGAATTTACACAGACTCAAAGCGGTCTATGCGAACTGTGGAAACTGGGAAGCTCCTCCTGCCGTACACTTGTGTGATACAGTAAAT